TATTATGATTCTACTCCTAATTCTAATAGTAGTCTGGTAGAGTGGAGTATTATTTTCTAGTGCTCATAAAAAACTAAAAACATGTTTAAAATATTTTGCATATTTTATTTTATGATTAGGTATATTATTTATATTATAATATTATTCAATAATAGTTATCTTATAAACTTCAAACTAATTTTGAAAAATTGTTTAGTTTTTTTGGTGTTTTCTTGTTTTTAGCACCTTGCTCATTTTTTTCTTTTATAAGTGAATATCATTCTTGTTTTGACATAATGCGTTATGATATATTTGGTTAATATTTGACTGTGTATTGAGCAAACAACCTTTGTCAAAAAATTTGTTTATATATTTCTTCAATAAATATAAATTATGTTAGAAAAATAAACAGTGAAAAATGTATATGTAGTTTTCAAATTGAAATTCAACATTAAAAACATGATCTTTTACCGGGACAGCTAGTTATATTCATTATATTTAGATATTTTACACTATAATCTAGTACAGTATTTCTCAATTTTTTTTGTCGTGAGGCTCCCTAAATTTAATGTAAAACTGTCAAGGCCCCCTTAATCAAAATTATTAATTGTTTTTTCTAAATTAGGTATATACTAAAATTACTTGTACTATTTCACACAGATTAATTATTAAAATGTATAGTAATTTAATATACTTTTGAAAAATATTAATGATAGTATTAAAATTTAAGTATTTATTCTTTTTCCATAAACGCTTAAAGTCAAAAAATAAAAATAAAAATAAAATAATAACATTTTTTACTAGTGTGCCTGGAAGTTCTAAGTACATTGAACCCTACAATAATCTTAAAAGAAAACATGAACACGTTAATCAATCGGAATCGGAATATTGTTCTTTAAATAAACATTTTTCATTTTTGAAATTTATTTTCTGTAGAGTAGGTACATTACCATGTTTATATTTAATATTTGTAAAAAGGAGGTGACAAAGTCCCCGTGATAAAAAACAAAATGTTCAACCCCCCCCATTGAAAATTCCTGAGTACGCCCCTGATCATACACAGTTTTACAGTAAATTCACTGAACTATACAGACAGTGAATTGCGAAATAAAAATGCCCTGGAAAAATGCCCGAATCTAGGAAAAATAATTCCCAATCACGTGAAATATTTTTTAAAAGCTAATTAGTGTAATTTTATTACCACGCTGTTAATATTTAATTACAAATATACACAAGGTTAAGAAATACTTATCATTAAAACATTTAAAATAGAAATAAATAATTTTCAAAAATATTATTTTGTTTTATATATCACGATTTGAAAAACACACCTATATGTTAATGGTTCTTTTAAAAGAATAGGTGCATCAAAATATTGTTTGATAATTATTTGTGTTATTTAACATATCGATCATTCGAAATATTTTTATTTTTATTTTATAATATTTTATAATATTTTAAATAGGTACTTTAAATATTATACCTATGAGTAAAACTTGACTCAGTAAAAATTACTCAGAAAAAACTGTAAAAAAAGTTACTATAGTCATTACAGCCTTTTTAATTTCATATTCCACACTAAGTATTTCTTGCTACCCAACTTGTATCGTACTACACACAATTTTAGTCCTTGCCTACCTATATATATTTTATAGTTCACCCACAATTTTTCATTTATAAATAGACAATAATGGTTAATCAATATTACCAGTGGCGTCCGCAGGATTTTTCAATGGGGGAGGCTTGAAAATTAGTTACAATTTTCTTTTCATTTTGTCCAGTCTAATAATTTCAGACGTTTATTTGAGGTATTTTAAAAAGTTTGTAACTTTTCAACTTTTCTGGTAGAAAAAATGCTCTGATCATAAGCTCCGATGCTCAGTGTATGTTTTTGGAAGCAAATTGGATCTAGTTGGTACTATTAGGATTTAAGAGGTTGAAATTGAAAATGCCCAGGGCTTTTAAAAATAATTTGAGAAAAAAAAATGAAAATTTATTTAAATGTTTGGTTATACCGTCTTCACTTGGATTGTATTTGAATAATTAAATTTTTGTTTTCTATAAATGTCAATAAAAAATTATTTATCCTGTCAAAAAGCTTAAAAATTGAATACGTAATTTTTTTTATTATAGCTAAAATAATAACGATACATAGGTATCATGCTTATTTTTTTATAAGCATTTAAAGTTCAAATTTCGTCAAAACCACAGTTAATTTGTAGTTCAAAACTTATAAAATATTAAATGTGTATAGCTAAGGCTAGACAATTTAATACAAGATCTTTCATACAAATAGTTCATACTTTTACCGAAAAATTACAGATAATTTATGAAAATTGGTATGTTACAAATACAATGTTTTTTCAAAAATGAATTCATTCTGGTAAGACATATTTGAAATTTACGTCTTGCTTACTATAGTTGAGAGTTTAACTTGATTAATATTTTTTTGAAAAAGTAATAATAATACGGGTAATAGGGGGGGCTTTAGCCCTTTAGCTCCCCCCCCTGCGGACGCCACTGAATATTACTTTCAGGTTTTTATGTTTTAAACATTTGTCTAGAAAACCTTATACCTCCCCGTCGTGTCCGTCAGTTAGTTGACAGTAGGTATACATAGTTACGATTGTTGATACATATACATATTTATAGATAAAATACAAACAGTTGGTTAATGATTTATTTTAATTTGATCATTGTTTAAGTTTTTATTGATATTGGTAGCTGAATTGATTTTTGCATAATATTTATTAACGTATTGCAAGACAGATATTTTATTTTTAATGTCGAAAATACGAAGACATATTTTTTTCTATTGATTAATTTTTCAACATAATTTTGATATTTTTACTTTTATTCATAAGCCAATTGGTGTTTTAGTATTTAATAATGACGTATAGTAATCTACTTATAAAAGAGCACTGACACGTTTACAATACAATAAATAAATACAAATATAAATTTAATCCACCTATGCTAAGATTCGATTTTTTTGTCGGACGCGTAACGTCTATAAGGTAAAAACTCTTTTGCGAGGGACAACTTTTCTCGCACCATATTTGTTGTAGAACTACCAAATTTTCACAGCACTTAAAGAAGAACTTTATCTGTGCAACAGCGTGCTCTTTTTTTCAATAGCACCATCCAATCATTTTTTATAAGCAAATTAAAAAACCAAATGTTTAGAAGCAAATAACTTGTATTGTATATATGTTATTGAAAAAAAGAGCTCGCTGTTGCACAGATAAAGTTCTTCTTTAAGTGCTGTGAAAATTTGGTAGTTCTACAACAAATATGGTGCGAGAAAAGTTGTCCCTCGCAAAAGAGTTTTTGCTATGTTGTACATTTGTAAGACGGAGACAACACATGCGGGTGTGGCGTCCTCTTAATATATTATTATCGAACAAAATACAATCGCTCGTATTGCCATTTAATCTCTAAAAACTCTATGGTATTATCAGTACACACAGAAATAGCATTACTAATAATTTTATCGTACACAGTACACCAGTACAAATATCGTTAAAATATTCTAAAATAATTATGATGTATTAATATAATGTCAGTTTTTTTTTGTTTAAAATAAGTGTTAGGTAGAATTACCTACAGTGAAAATATTATTTGATTAAAACTCCCCCCCCCCCCCGAAAATCTTTTCCAGCTACAGCCTTGAGTATGCTCGTCTATAGTGTCTGCATTTTCTGGATTTCTGTACTCTGACTGTACTTTTAAATTATAATTGAAAATTGTAGTTCTAAATGTATTATATTATACAATACATTTATAAATATACATTGTACAATACGTATATATACCTATATGTATTTATGTATTCATACTCCTTTGCAGTATTATTAAGTTTTATCAAAAAATATGATAAATATTGAAACGTCAAAAACAGTAAATGCCATGCATAAAATAAAAGTTTGTTTACACATAAAATACAATTATAAAGCTTCAGATCTTTAGAGTTATTTATATTTTCTTCTTTACGCAATATACATTCTTGATAATATTTTATAAAGGAAAATCAAATTGAACAATTTTAATATCGAAATTACAATTTCTGATAATATTTATTGAATTCTATTCAGCTATATAATAAAAGCGTATATACCATTAATAATAATTGCAATATCGAAACACACAACTTTAAAAAGAAAATACATTGCACTACGCTTTGTGCTTGGCTTTTAGTTAAAATGTTATTTTTATGTCTGATTGCTTATAATACACACACGTGCAAGTTTCTCATTAAAATTGACGTCAACGTGTTAAAAATATTAAAAATAATTAAAAACAGTCATAATATACACATATTTTATTTGCATCTTAGAGTTTAATCGAAATAATGTACTTACTTTTCAATCTATATGTCGCATCCATTTAGTGAAATCGCTCATTTCATGAAGTGGGCATCCACTTCATGAAATGTATCCATTTAGTGAAAATGACTTTTTACTACACTATATGGACAATTTTTTAACCTCTTCGTGAAGTGGATGAAATTCATTTTATCCAAATTGTGTAAAATTAATATTATGCATGAGTATTTTTGGTATTGGGTAATTGTACGATTTACACTAGGTAATTGGATTTTAAATAAATATAAAAGTTGCTTGTTATAATCTGATTAATATTATTATTATCACTATTAATATGTATAATAATACGGTATAATATAATATAGCCTTTAAATATAAAGAAATATGAAAATCAAAAATTATAATTAAATTTAATTATTTAATTATTACATTTTTTATTTATTTTTACAAGGCTGAGAGTTATGACAACGACTATTGCACAACATTTTTTTTTAAAACAGGCACATCTTGATGTTTGACATGAGTTTTTAGATTTACATGAACAAGAAGACAAACCTTGTCCCCCTGTTATGACTGTCACAGTTTCTCGAACAGTTAGCTCTTTGTCCAACACAATCTCGTCACTCTTTAAAAATGTCTCACATTTTTTTAAACAATCTCCTCCATACCATCCTTTAATCATTCCATGTTTAGTACCTAGCTTATACAGTTTATTTTTTTTTCAACAACTAAACATATAATATTTGGTGGATCTGTAGGTCCTCTGTCGACTTTTGGAACGGCCATTACCACACAATCATTAACTTCAAGGTCTAGAACAGCTGCATGACTAGTCTATAAAAGAGAATAATAAATATTTTTATTTTATTTTTAAGCATTTCATATTTAGTATTAATTTAGTATGCAATTTCATGCAGTTTCATATTTAAAAATTTACCTGCAACATGTTTTCAGCAAATTTTTTAATGCCATCGGAACCTTTTTTTCGTTGCATTTTAATCTGTTCTTTTTTTCTACATAAGTTACACATAATAGATCCAGCTTCATCTTGATTTTCCACTTCATTTATTTCAATTTTACATATACCACATGTATAATTAACCGTTGAACATTGTAAAATCTCTTCAATTTCTTCTTCAGTCGTAATAGTTTGTACAAAATTATTTGGAAGTCTTGAACTCATCAATCCAACTTTTGGGTCATTTCCAAATAACGCGTTATATGGGCTTCTACCAATAGTACGGTGAAATGAACAATTTTTTGCCACTGAACAAATTGAAGACCGATTGACCATCTCTGGGACACATTGTCTTGCATCCATGCTCTTAACATATGTTCAACGTCTTGATTGACCCACTCAATACTCCCTTGACTCTGAGGATGCCTTGGACGTCCATGTATAATAACACACTCCGGCCAAAGTTGTTTTAATTCATCGATTACACAGTTAACAAACTCTCGGCCATTATCACTTTGTAAAATGCTTGTCGCTCCAAATGTTAGAAAAATACTTAGCAAATGAGTACTGACTTCTATAGCCCTTTTACTTTCCATAGGACGGAGGGATATACATTTTGTATTCACTAAATGGATGCGACATATACACGTCATGCAATTGCGTTTATCTTTTTTTGAAACGAAGTTCATTATGGCACGATCCGGGCTAGCCGGAAAAAAACGTTCCTAACGAAATACTTTTTTTTTTTTTTTTTTTTTTTTTATTAAAAGAATAATTACAATCTATACAAACATATGTACAATAGGTAATTTTTTTTGATTGACAATAACGTTGAATTACCGAGAGGGAAGGTACTCAGTAGTACCACCCGACAGATCAAGCAAGGAAATCTCTAGGCCAAGATCGTTTCAATCTTCTTCTAGGATTATCGGGAATTGTACAAGAAGACAGACGTTTAATTAATGGATTAGTATGGTGATTAAGCTTAGAATGGAATGAGAGGAAGTGGGATTTGGTTAGCTGAGAAAGTGTGGGAACGTTTAAGTCTTTGTGAAGATTGGCGTTTTTTATATACCAAGGGGCAGAAGCGATTTGACGGAGACATATTGATTGGAAGGCTTGTATAGTTCGTAGGTTTGAGGGTTTCGCGGAGCCCCATATCTGGATACCGTATGCCCATACAGGTCTTAAAATAGCTTTGTAGATTAACAATTTATTGCTGATGTTTAGTTTGGAGCGGAGAAGTGGACGGAGCAAGTGAAGTCTAGAGTTTACAGATTTCCTTTTGTTTTTGAGGTGTTCAGCCCAGGTGAGTCGTTTATCAAACGTTAGGCCCAGGTATTTGACTACAGGGGTTGATGGAATTAAGTTATTATTGAATGAAACTGGAGGGCAGTCTCCAGGTCTTAGTGAAAAGGTAATAAAGGAGGATTTGGAGTCATTTATTTTTATTTTCCATTTTTTTGACCAGATCTGGATCATATTTAGATGATTTTGTAACCTATCAGACACAGTTTGAGGGTTGTCATTTGAGGCCAGGATTATTGTATCGTCGGCGTATGTGCCTAATGATGTAAGTAAAGTTTTCGGAGTGTCATGTGTAAATATGGTGTAAAGGAAAGGCGCTATATCGCTTCCTTGGGGGACGCCAGCCAAGATAGGAAAGTTAACCGAGTAGCTGTTGTTCACTCTAACTGGGAAGGTTCGATTTTCAAGATAAGACTTGATAATAAGGTAATATGGAGTAGTGAGAAATTTTTTAAGTTTATAGAGTAGGCCATCATGCCACACTCTGTCGAAGGCTCGGGCCACGTCTAGCAGGACGGCAGCACAGTAGTGCTTGGATTCCATACTAGTAGATATTAAGTCGACAGTACGAAGGAGTTGGTGGGTGGTTGAGTGTTTAGCCCTGAACCCAAATGGTGATGTGGAATGATGTTAGCTTTGTCTGACAGTGGGAGAAGTCTTTTCAGAAGTATTTTTTCAAACATTTTTGAGAAAGTGGGAAGGAGGCTTATTGGTCTATAAGAGGTGGGAAGTTGCGGTGGCTTGTCGGGCTTAGAGATAAGAATTATATTTGAAATACTAACGAAATACTTAAATTTATAATATTATATTAAACAGTTATTTTAGCCAAAACATCGAATTTTTATTCCATCACACTGATTGATCTGGTAATGCGATAATACTTTTTAAAAATGATTTGAGTTCGTTATTATGTCTTCTTGATATTTGCTAGTCCACTTTCCCCCTCCCCTCTCCAAAATCTATAAATTTATCTTGAATATTTTGAAGTTATTCGGGATTTACTCGAAGTTTAAATCAGAAATCTCTTAAAATTTGGACTTACCGATCTCAAATAGACGATTCTAACGAATTCAGATCAGTTTCTTAATAAAGAAATGTTTGTTAGGTTTAAGTGTTTATTTCATAATATATTTACTATTCTACCATAGTTAACTGGTGGTACAATGAAAGTATTTTAAATTACTAAACCTACGAAAAAAAAATGTACCATTATAATAGTATAATCAATAATATATTATACTATATTATTATATGGCATGTACTGCTATATATGGCAGCGAAACGTGGACAATTACCATTTACCAACATGAACGGAGAAGACAGAAGAACATAAGTATATAAGAATATAGACAGAAGTACAGAAGTATAGGAGGTTCAAACTCAAAAATTCTTAATTCAATTTATTAATTATTATTCAAGGGTGTTTTCGTTTTTAATTCCTTATCAATCAGTAATATCATATAAAAACGTAAACATTGCCGTTTATGCAAATGGCGGCAGCAACCTCAAAACATTACAATGTGATAGTAGTCGCGGCTATCTATGTCTGTGGTAGTAATATAGTTTTCGTCACGCCTGCACGGAAAGTTTGGTTTTCGACCGCGGTTGAAGCGTCCAGCTGGCCGTAAAGTGGGAATCCCCATAGTTCCGGGCGAAAAAGTGCTGGGCGCGTAGGTATATCACGTAGGTATTCCATGCTCAACCAGACACTGAAATCTATACCACGGTCCTTACAAAACATAAACTTTTGGTTACATATTATATAGGAACATATTATTATAATCTCCTTGCATGACGCGTAACCATTTTAATTTCATGAAATATTGTTTTCGTAGAATAATCTGATTGTTGCATGTATTGCTTTAAAATTTACCGTGATTACATTTTTTTGTGCGTCGCGTTCGGTATAGACTAATAGACTATAGGTAATATAGAAAACGGGTATAACTTGAGGATTTGAAACAGCATACTGAGATATGCATACTATGAATTTATAATTGTTATAATTTATAAATTATAACGATCTGGTGACTTTAACATCAATTTTAATGATGAGAAATCGGAAACTTCCAAAACTTTCCTTATGGACACATTCAATTTACATATGATAAACAATCCAGCAGAATATACAACGAGAGATGACACCACAATCGATGCAGTATTTTCAAGATATTTGGAAAAAATTACATCACAAACATACGTATCATGTTTCAGTTTTCACAGGTCTGTAATTCAGATTATTGAATATGATTAATATGGTAGTAATTAAATAGTTCATTTTAATTTTCATTTATTTTTCACATTTACTTATTGATATATTTTACTTTTATTTTGTATGGTTCCATTAAAATGTATTTTGTAATCAATTATATTTGTTGGAATAGAAACTTCGTTTCTACCGGGTGTCCCATGACACCACTCACTTTTTTTTTTAGTAGAACGTCGTGTAAATTTAACATTTTTATATACTAAATAAATAATAATAATAAAAATAATCCACTTAATATTTGGGGCCTGGGGGTATTCAATATTTTACATCAATATTTTAATTGATGGTATAAACAAAAATATCCCGAGTTTTATGACGACGAAATGAAAACCATTAAAACCATTATATTTATAATAATTAATATAACAAGGAAAGATGGAAATGTAAAGTGAACGGCTCACTTGAGACTTTCCAAGACGGATGAAGGTAGTCAAAGAAAGAGTTTTTTTTTTTAATCTTTCGTAATGTTTTATTTTCCGCTGGCAGATGTGAACTGACATGCCTTTTGATCAAATCAGGGTGCAGCTGGACAGCAGCATTTAATATGATTCCACAGTCAATGCACAAAATCCGCATTTATTTTGAATCTCACACGATTTCGGTGCACTCAGATATGAAGTTAACACGCCTCCCGAAATTATATTCAGAACACAATATTTTATCAAACAGAATAATGTGTTTTCGAGTATATATATTTTGATCGAATCGCTATCAAATTTTATTTTTTTATCTAAATAGTTTATTGACTCGTGCAGTACACGTATAACAAGACATTTTTTATTTTTTAATTCTGAAAAAAAATTGACTTAATTTTTTTTTTTTACTTTCAAAATATTCATTTTGTAAATCTGGTAATCTTTTTACTGTAAAACATTTAAAAATACTTAGATTTTAAAATAGTATCTACTTGAAAATACTCTTAAAATATTTTTAAAAAGTTCATACTTTTTGAATTTAAAATGTTTTCTACGACCGGATCAATTTTTCTCGACGAAAATAATGAGATTTCAAACAATAGTAAACAATAAACTACATAACTTAAATAAAAGTTTTTACAATCAACGTTATTCCAAAAACTAGATTTACAAACTGGCTATTTTGAATTTTTCAGTATTAAAAAATCAAATTTGAAAATGTTATAGGTACTACGATAATACGTCTATAACGAAAGCGTCTGTGAATAAAAAAAAATTTTAATATTGATATAAAAACAACAGTTGATTCTTTTAACGGGTCTTCTTGTACACACTGTATATTAGCTTAATTTTCATGTTGTAGCATAATTAACTATTTAATATTTTTATTTACTTTGCTCTCTCCTCATTTCTCAAGCACGGCCTTTGGTTTTCGAGGAGATGTTACTTAGTATCTTATTAGCAATTTATATATAATGCATATTATGTAATTGTTGACGCTTTATAACAGCAATAAAATATAATTAAACGTATTTCCTAGTATTTGATCGAATCGATCGAGTTACTTTTACTATAAGATTTTTCAGAGGTTCTATATTTTTTTTTTGTATGCTTATTTTTAAGTCTCAAATTTTGAGTTCAACTTGAATTTACCTACATCCTATTACTTTACACGACTTGTATAATAGTTAAACCTACCTACTTGGGTGTGTTCGAGCGTTTCGTTGAACCAA